TTCCCTTCCAAAAGGGGAGGGAAGTCCTTGAGAGCTTAATACTGCTAGAGTACAAGCACCGAATAATGGAATAAATACACAGCTTCCAGGGAACGTGGGACATGTCTACACAGTGCCACACAGCACTCCGTTGCATTAAGGAATGAGTTTGCAAGTCTGTTCAGCATCATGCTATGCTAACCCAGGCAGAGAGAGAGATTTAGACTGTGAAACAGCGCTGCATGCTAACAGAGTATCTCCCACTTTTGCAGAAAGATGCCTGTTTGTGGGGCTTAGGAGAAAGCAGGACTGAAGGTACTTTGTACAAGGATTAGTGTAACAAAATGAAACTACTGCTATGGGCCATGATGCACATTACTCTCTCCAATTAGACTTATACTGTGAGATGTTAGTGTGTTCTGGAAGCTGTCTGATTTCCATCTGATGACGGAACACAGCTACTGACCCCATAATCAGAAGATGCGTGTGACTGATGCACTTGCTTTAAGAGAAATCTCAGTGCTGCATAACAACTGCATCAGCAGCTGCAGTTCTAAGAGCCCTCAACTCAAAGAAACTCTCCAAGGAGAATATTGTTCTCAGCCACTTGCATGCAAACCTGCAAGGAAAAGAAGCCAAAGCTAGACAAGTGGAAAGAGGTGGCAAAAAGCAAGACACACACACCACAAAAAACCACACAAGACTACATTGCCAAAGCAGGGTTAAGTTTATTCATGTTCATATTCATCTGTCTGAAACTGATCCTGTTTAAAACCTCAACAACCTTTTGTAAAAAACTCCTCGGGGGAAAACTGCAAAGAATGCAAGTCTCTCTCAGTCCATGGCAACAAGCCCAATGGCACTAAGCAGCTAAAGAAAGTGTGCAGATTACCCAATACAGTCCGCTGTTTATGAAGAACAGATCACAGCAGGTTAAGCGCAGCAATGGAAAGGGAATGGCATTTATGCAAAATACAGCATAACAACAACAAGGAGAGAGTGAGTCTTGGAAGCAGAAACTAGTTTTAGTGATGTACAATTCTGCACAACAGTACATGATCTCAGTTGAGTACAATTAATCAAATTACTCATATCAAATAAACATTCTTATGTTGTGAATAACTTGCATTTTATCTGCATGGTTATATTACTGCGGGCTAAGTGTAGATAGCTTTTGTTATAGGAAGTAGTATTCCCCACATAGGACTGAAATGCAAAGAAATAGCCCTGCTCCATTTTCCAGAGCAGCTCATCATGTCTGCTCTCACTTACTGTCATCCTGTCATGCCGGCAATGCTACTATCTCTTCCATGCTGCAAATCCATGCTACATTTTTAGATGTACAAACAGTACCGGAAGGGGATTTGAAAAGGTCTTCGCAATACATGAACTCCCCAAATAAGGCAAGCAGCTGATGCAGTGCATAAAAACAGTAATGGAAAACATTGAATTGACAAGTCCCTGTTCCCCTTCATGCAGTACACAAAAGCCCTTGTGACTAGCCCTGCCTAGGAAAACTGGCAATCCAAGCCACAGAGTCAGTGGCAACGCTTTTTTTTTTGTTTCAGATTTTGCTGACTATGAAAAGAGAGATTATATGCATGCTCAAGATACACACACTCTCCCTGATGCAGGGTTTAAATGTAAACCAACCTAAGGTCTTTGCCCCCAGGCTGTCCGCCCTTTTGCTTTTACCATTGTTAACACATCTAATTGTCAGGTCTCAGAGTTGGTTTTACTGCAGGGAAGCAGGAGGAAACAAGGTGACTACATTCTCTCCTCATTTGCCACCTCCAATGCAGTACACGTCACCAGTCACAGAACAGCAGAGTAGCTATGTCATGTTCACAAGCCGTCAGTCCCCTCCAGTCAGTGATGGATTCAGCCCCAAAACTCATGCAGTTTTGTACTGCATGCAATTCCAAGAGGTGGAAAAATAGACTTGAGCATCTTAGAGAAACAGCCTTACTTAGTGCTTACACACATGTCATTGTAATTTGGTTTCTAATTGAGAGGATGATGACAAAACACAAAATCAACAGTTCAGTATGGTCAAGATCAACCAGACTCTGTGAACAGACTGTTACACTACCAATGTCATTTCCAAACCAGTACCATTCATGCTTCTAACTCCTGTAAAATTCAAGAATTTCCAATAATTATCAGACAAAACCCTAGACCTTTTGAAGTCTGGTGACAATGAAGATGATTTGGGTCCTATAATCTACTGTGTATACATCTACAATGGAGGATTAGTTTTGAACCAAGCTCCGCTCAAGATAGGTCATCCACATCCTAGGTTAGTGCTATAACAATTCAGACATTTGATATTCTCCATATGTGCATACATCTTTCTCTCTCTTTCTCTTCTGATCAGGATTTTTCTTTTACCCAAAAGACTTTTCCAAAATAAAAGTTACTCAGAATATTTCTATAAATCTGCATGGGGGGGAGAGAGAAGAAGGGATGAGTTGTTGAAAAAAATGTCGCTAGCCAACTCTTTGTACAGGGTAGATTCTGAAATGGGTGGGTCTGCTTACATTCTTGTTGAGATGGGGATTCAAGGTTGAAGAGCACAGTGGGTATTCCTCCTAGAAACTTGGTCCAGAGATGTTGCTCTGTTCTAGACCTCCCAATTGAGATTTTAAGAGTCTGCATGGAGCAACTCTCCAGGTATCGGACCAGAATAAACTGGTAACAGCACACAGCTGACTTCCGCAAGGCCTGAGACATTTCACAAAACTGGCCTATGTGGCTTCTCTGCAGAAGAGAACCTGGAGGTGTCAATTCTCTGGACAGGAGATGCAGCATCTGAACAACTCCCACCAGACCATATCTGAGTTGCTGGAAGCAAAACTAGTTCAGACTGTTCACTAACATTCTGCTTTTTAATCATCCTTTTAAATCAAATTTAAATTAATTTGGACCAGTAGATAAAAGAAACACTTGTCTCAAACGCAGGTTGAAACCTGGTATCTTCCTCAGCCACTGTTTTCCATTCACATCTTATGTGGGGGGAATAACATTACATGCTGCAATGAAACTGGTTCCTGAGGTATGTGGAACACAATGCATTATTATCCAAGGAATGACATCAATTTCAGTTAATGCCAGTCACAAAGGAATCAGAGGCTTCCTTCCTTATGCGAGGTAAAACAAAAGCATTTTAGTGTTCACAGATCTGTTTTAGAAAGGACTGAATGGAGGAAGAATGTGAAATATCGCTTGGCTTCCAGCTCAGAACACACAAGTTTTGTGAGCGCTTTCATACTGCTCCTCCACTGAAAACACTGGCAACCCATACCAGCCAGGGAATGCACAGAAAAGCAGCCCATCAACTGCTCAACGATCCAGACGCTAGTACCAACTTACGAAACAAAACGATTTGAAAGATAGCTTTGTCAACTGCACTCTCATGACAGCTTATTAGTATACAAATTTCACTTGCACTCTCTACTTTACCCTCCAACATGTTGATGGACTGCTGATGTGACATACTGAAGTGTCAGCTTTCCTTCCCCCTTTCTTCTTAAACTATAAAGCTCAACACAGAACACTTACCTCCACTCTTACCCCCCACCTTCACCAAGACGGTCTGCACTGTACACAAACAGGATGCTGCTCCAAAGTATGCAAAGAAGTTGGCAGGACAGATAAAACTTTTCCCACCTCACCATAAAAAACAAAAACAAAATAAAAACACTCCTACACACCAGATGATAATGGGAGGGTAAAGCTGAGGGGAATAAAGATTTTTGGTGGGTTAATCACCAAAAAAAAAAAATCTTTCCTCTCCTCTTCCCCCAGGCATCACAAAGTGTTTGAACTAGCCCCAAACCCTCTAGTCTTTCTTTTTGAAGCAGTATTGATTATATTTTGGATTTTTTTTTTTTTACCTTCAAAAGAATTTGCAAACAACAACTAACGAATCCTCAAATTTCTCTGAGGCACAAGATCTCTAGAACAGTGTTAGACATATGGAAGCTTATGGAAGCTAAAGCAAAGAGGTTGCATGATTTACCCAAGTTCACAAATCAGAGGTTAGAGAGGATGCCAGATTTTGACTTTCGAAACTTGTGCCAATTCACCAGGCAACACACCCCTCTTACCTACTAGGTAACTGTTCATGGGCCACTTGACGCTACTCAATATGTTCGTGGCAAGACAGCCAAGTATTAATGTTCATTTCTACCCTGTGTTGGAAACTACTCTTTCTCCCAAAATCTCCTTCTTGATTGCTCTCCTTCTGCCACAACTACTTAAAATTCTTTTGAAGCCTGTAGGACTGCTCCCAACTCAACCATTCGTGAAGGCTGCTCAGTGGCCACGACTGACTATTCATTTTGCATAAATCTTAAAGGCCAACAAACCACGAGAAGCACATTTGCCTTCTCTGCTACCCTTGCCTGAAGTAACTGATTCTCAGGAGAACAGCATTATGAAACAATCTATAATCCAAGCATATCATTTAGTTCCAGCATGCAAATACTACAGAATCAAGAACCTGAACAAAGAAATCTCACAACCGGTCTCATCACCTCCATTTCAGGCTCCCAAAGCCTAACAGGGAAAAGTGCAGGAAGCTAAAGTGTCACAAACAAGAGCTGTGCAGGTGAGAGGCTCAAAAGACAGCTCTAGGGAGAACTCACTTTTGCTGGGATAAACAAAGCACAGGTAACAGCAGTGAAAGTCGGCCTGTTCTGTGTGAGTCACAATTCTGTTTGCAGCTCATCTCCAGAGAACAACTGCCCTCCCCCGCAACTTCTAGCAAAGATGACACAATTTCTATGCTATGCTGGAGATGAATGCCAATACACATGCACGTGTGTCTTTTAAGGTATTTTCTGTGACCGAATCAAAATTTCCACTTGATTAAATGGTCCTCAGCTTGCAACACCTTCACCTCAGTAAGTGAACCTGAGCGTGTACCTGCACTGCTATTCTCTCTTGGCTCACCCCTTAACAGCAAATCCCTTGCAGCCACTGGAAACCTGGCTGACAGAGGCCAATAGAAGTTCTACCTGTGTGAATGATCCATCCTCATTGCATTCTGGGATGAAGACTGCTTCCTGGGGCTTCTTTGCCTGTTCCAGTGCTTGAGCTCTCTCTAAGCGACACTTGCTTTGGCCAGCATCTACAAAGAGAGAAGCAAAACATGCTCAGATTGCAAATACCATTTGGCCCCTTCAAAAGCTACCAGATGAACCATGCAGCTAGGAACAAAAAAAATAAACAAATGCAAGGCATCAAGGACTACTACCTGCACATTAAAAAGGCAGCTGCAAGTTAGCGCTGACAATCCCAAGGACAAATGTGAACCCAGGCAATCAAGCTATGAGCTAGTTCAGTGAAGAGCTGGTAAATTTCCTAGGTCATCCAAAGGCTCTGGAGGCTTCCTCCAGCAAGTGCAGGAGCACAAGCTCCATGCAAGTAAAAGGTCTTCCTGGAGGGAGTTATGTTAGTGCTAGGCATTAACAGTTTGAAACCAGATGGTTGGGCATCAGTCCATTAATTGAGGCCCAGAAGTGAAGAATATGGAAGCAGGGATCCCCAACAAAGTTTCTTCCCTGAGGAAGTCTCCCAGTAAGATGCTAAAATAATTAGTCATCCCCTGAACTTCCAGCTTCAGATGTTCAGACAAGGTAGATGTGAGTCTACTCACATCTGAGTAGACAGTCTACTACTGTCTGCGAGTTATCTTTCCTGAAACCCAGCTCCCACGTCTAGCCCAGATGGATATGGCCAGGCATACATTACACTTCCCCATATCAGTTACTCGCTTTGCTGCCAAGGAGAAACATTTGCTTTGTGAGCAGACACTGAAGGGGTTAAGATCTCAGCTCTACATGCATTTCAGATTATGGTAGTGTCTAATATGACCTTAAACCCCTTCCAGGTCCAGCTCACTGTTACAGAGCATAGGCCCAGATAAGCCTCACACTGATTACCTGTAGGTTAAAAGGAGAGTTCTGTTCTGCAGAGATGCAGCGTACACTCAGTGTTTACATTTAAAAACACAGTGCCTTAGAGTACTGATGTTCAGTCTGGAAAGGGCAGAAAAAAAGCAAGCATCTGTTTCTATGGGTTTCTGACACCTGGACTAGCATCCCTCCTCCTTTTCCCATGAACCCACTCCACTGTCTGGAAGATTTTCAGTGCAGAAACTGCAAAATCTGATCACCAGATCCTTCAGCAGCACCATAAGGAATAACCAAGGTTGAATCCTCATTCTGCAAGGTACTTCATCACATTGGTTAACAAACAGTTCTCTGTCGGATCCCTGAAGATCCCATATTCTGCTTGGGAGGAGTACGATCCCATATCACTTGAACTTCAACAACAGAATCATTAATACTAGCACTGAATTAGAACGCTAACCTCAATTCTGACATCAATTGAATTTGCGCTGCATGGCATGAGAAGTGATTTCCATCTAAGCATAACTAGATGCAGAAACAAACAACAATGCTGTAAAGAGTCAGTTTTGATAGAGATACACACTAAAGCTTTCAAGCTAAGTACTTTACTTATGCAACTGATGACTTAAGAGGCCAAGTTTCAGGTTTGCTAACACTGACTAGGCAGTTTCATTTTAAATGTATCATATTAATGTACCCCCTAAGCAGTATTTCACAGGTTCTCTGAAATTATGTAAATCAATCCTCTTCCTATTTGGAAAAAGTGATTAACAATAGCAACACCACTACTCAGCACAGATGTGGGTCACTTAGGCACTGGGTTACAAAGCTAGAGTGCCTATACCAGTTCTGTCATTAACCCATTGGCCGAGCGACTATGAGTCATTTATCTGACCTCCCGATGGCCTTGTGCCCTTTCTGATTCTACGTCAACCTCATATTTAGATTGCAAGTTGCTTGTGGGGTACACGTTTGCACAATGCCCTTAGCGCATGGGCTTTGATCTCAGACGGGCCTACCATGGGCTCAGTACAAACAGAGAGACTGATACTCACAGAGCAAAAAGACTTTCATGAATTAAACTTGCACTGAATTTAGAGAAGCATTATTTTTCTTCTGATTAAATTAGCGTTGATATAACCTATATGATGGAATTTCTTTTTTTTCCACTTGCATAAGTGACCATACTACCAGAACTTGTTTGCACACCACCACTAATGATGGTTCTGCCAGCAGCACTGTCCATTTGAACACATTCTACTTCTTTCTGATGAGAAGGTAGCACCTAACTATCACCTGCAGATCTCCTGTTCAAGTTTAAGAGTCTAATCTTGCCTGGCATGAGATAGGACATTATTACAAAACCAGGTGGTGTGGCTGCACCTTCTGTTTTACAGCTGTCTGACTTAAACATACGCTTTCAAGTTCTCCTTCACAGGACACAACTAAGAAGCAAAAATCTGCATAGATCATACAGGTCTGCAAGTACAAAAGGAGAGGAAGAAAAGAGCGGCAAATTTCTCACGTGACAATCGAAGCACAGATTCACAAATGAAAATGTGGCTTCTAGTCTTGAGAACACAGGACTGCAGACAAGGACATCTAGCTAAAATTGCATTAATCAGAGGCAATACTTTCTCCTCTCTTCTGAATATAAAGCAGAAGCATAAAGCATTTCCACAGAGTGCCTACTTTAGTGCTGGCACACTCACAACATTCATACACAGACAGCAGTACCTACATGACTGAGGCTGGATGCTTCACCACACAGTTGGTAGGAACTAACATTTTGTAGTATCACTTGCAGCACAGAGATGTTTGGAGTCCAGGCAGAAGGGAGTCTAACTCAGATCTTTGTCCAATTTGTCTAATGAGCATGCAAATATGCACGCCAATCAAGGCCTTACTAGAAGGAGAAGACAATATAAACATCCCATTGCTAGGGTAACATTGTCCCTTCTAGAAATTTTAACTAGCCTTTATAGACTAAGCTTACTACCAGCACTCAGTAGACTGCACTGTAGTGCACTACTGCTATACCACAAAGTTTAAGAGCTCATTTTTCTTGCAACAGACGATCTCTCAATTCAGCCCTTGGCTCAAGTGGTGGTAAGAAATTGTTGCTGAAGTGCAGAGAAGAAACGCAATTATTTTTCCTGTTCCTGAACATTCAGTGGTAATTATTTCTCCCATCCTCCCTCATTGATCTACAAAGGTCATGTCAGGCCTTTTACAGCCTTGATTTGGAACAGCCATCTATACCGCACTGGCTGCAGAGATGTATGCATATTGCTATCTTTTTTGTCTGTAGTTTCACAATTCAGTTCCAGTAAAAACAGTGCCTTTAATATCAACATTTACCAGTTTGTTTTTAAAAAGACTGTCAAATTCCTTCTCCTTCCTGCTCCACAGACTGGTATTTTTATAATGTTTGCATCAACATGTGATTTCAGTGGGATGACTTCACCTTACTATTTTTTGCTTTGTTAATTAGAAAATGTAAAATATTACATAAGTGCCAAGGATTAAAGAGTAGCTGCCAAGAAGCTTACCCCAAATTTAAGATGCATTACAAATTTTACTAAAGTCTGATGCTATGAGGTAGGTTCACATACCCTTTTCTACGTTTTGATTGTTTCATCAAATGTTTCAACACTTTTCCTTCCCTTTTCTTAAAGATGAAATGTTCTCTGAACTAGCAAACAGAAATAGAATGGCATTCATGCATTCCAGTTTCACTGTCCAAACGGAACCTAAATAAGATCTTCTCTCCTCACTTGCATAAGGTGAAAAAAAAATTATAAGATGACTTTTCTGAAGTTCAGTTTTTAAAAATTTGACTTTAAACACCTTGAAGCTTAGGCCAAAGTTATTGCTGCTCAGAAGATTGCCTTTTAAAGAAAATTTCTTGTTCTAAAGTTGGTATCCGGCAACTAGAAAATTGAGTGGTGTTCTCAACACATAAGGTCTAATCTGCAAAATTCAGGTGTACATAATTTTGGCTTTTGCCATGAAGTCAGCATGGTTGATCTTCTCTATGAACAGTCACCAAGCTTATTCAAATGAGACCACCATGTCCCTCATAATATACATAGCACACTTATGAATAGGCCCCAGGAATTCCAGCATACTCTCTTCACTAGCTAGTAGCAGTTTGACACCACACAAGACCCAAACTATCCTAAAAATACAAAGTAAAACATCTCCAGGCACCCATATAATGCCAGCAGCAAGCTTATATTATGTAACCACAAAAATTCAGCTATTTAATTTTAATTCTACATTGTTTTTACCAAAAGCTCAAAGGGCAAAAATTGATCCAAACAGCTTTTGAACTATTTATAGTTACATTAGGTAACTGTCTCACATACAGGCCAGAACCCCATCAGGCTTGAAGCAGTCCAGCTACACTGAAGTCAGCGGATTCATATCCATGTACTCCAGCCAATGATCTGTGGCCTTTGCATAAAACAGGCAAAAGCAGAAGCTGAGCAAACTACAAAAATGCGCTTGTCTGTCCCACGGGGCCTGTCGCTCATTCTCCATTCTCCCCTTTGTTTTCCACTTCATTTCTGAGAAGTCCCACACTAGCGATCTCCAACTTGCTTCTTCTCATCCTGACACACTTCGCTCCTTCTTTGATACCCAGATACCATTGCTATTACACAGTTCTAACCAACCTGGAGCATATCTAAAAAACATACTTAAATATTCAAAGTAACTGAGGGCTTCATTTCAGATTTTATTGTCCAATATGCTGCCAATAAGGGACCCATTTTCCTCTCCCTTGACTAAGAACATGAAAGTTCAAAGACAAAACATGCAGACCTAGCAAGTGGACTAAGAAAGAGTGATTTCAACAACTCATCTCCCAACAAGAATAGAAGGTAGAGGAGAAAAATTACCTTCAAACAAACCCATCATTAGTCAGAATGAGACTTTCCCTTCCGGCGCATCAGCCAAATCTTGTGCACTGCCAGGTGTTCCAGAAGCATGGGCTGAAGACTCCTGTTACAATTCCCAGCAGTAACTTACAGATAGGTTCATTCTACATACGTGACTTGTGATCTAAGAACCAGCTCTATAACAGCCGAACTTCAAATCCATCTACTATAAATCTGTTGGGACAACTTTCAGAACACCCCCACCTCCCTTTTTTTAATAGGCCAAGCAAGTTCCTGGAAATCAAACGGTTAACACTGAATTTAAATGTGTTTTAATCCACAGATATCCAATACACTCTTACAATCACGGCATAATTGTGACAGCTTGCCAAGTCTCATTTAACAAGAATTTGTCCCTCATAACTGCAAAGTGCTAAGGCAGAATTCTGTTGTTTAACATAAGATCATAAGGTGTCTGCTGACAAAAGATCCAGGTATGAGTGCTTGGGTGTGTATTTTATGCAACTGGCATAAACTGGGAACGCCATCTGGAACTATACTCTGGAATCTCCTCAGTGAGGCTCCATTTGTCATGGATGCCATAACTTTGATTGTTTTAAGCTACTCCTGACTTTTAACCCTTTGTGAGGTACGGGGGAAGTGTGAGAGGGAGATGTGCAATTCAATGCTGAAACAATTTCTTTGAAAAGTACCTAAGGAAGCTAGAAAGGAGCAAGAGCTAAATAAGAGTTATAGTTCCCAAGGGGCTGGCAAGATTTCATTTTTAAAGGTTCTTCTTGAGAGAGAGCAGAGAGCTAAACTGAATCAAAAGGTTCTGCTTTCACTACACAAACCATTCGGCTTGTCTTGATACAAGTATAGTTTGAGTTATCAGCACATGAAATTGAAAAACTATGGTAGTCTGGGGTACAGAACTATGCCTTGCTGTCCACAGCATGCTTCCTCTTCTCCTTATTTTAATCACCCAACTTTTTTTGTCCCTCAGAGAGGGAAGCACAAGCTAACATTGCTCATTTTACAAAAGTAAGTTACTGGGTTATCTATAACAATTATTGCCGACAGGGCTGGATGGCCCACAGGATCCCTTCCAGTTCTATAGGACATCTCCTGTAGAGTGTCTTTGTCATGCAGAAAAAATGAAGGCTGATCAGCGTGAACCAGGTGCTCTGCTGCCATGGTAGAAGGTGCTTGAACACTGCTGGTGTTATAGCTTCCTTTCGGAGAGTATAAGATAAAGAAAAACCTGGCCAACTACCTCTAGTCACACACACCTGTCTTGCAGCTGTCTGTATTTGCCAAGAACAGTGATCTTTATGCACAGCTAGAGGCCATATTTCTAATGAGACTAGAAAAACATAGCAGCATACTTGGAAGTTATCAGCAAAGTTAAATTTGAATGTGGTAGTTAAAAATATATTCCCATTTCCCAGGAATTAGTTGGAGCATTAGATAGTGGGTTAAGAGTAGGACTTGTTTGTCAAACACCCATAGATTATTAGGTGCTGTACAGTAACACAGGGTAAGAGGAAAGGAGGACGCAAGTGGTTTCAGCTAAACATTTCAGTTGCATTTAAGAAAGCTGAAAGGAAAACATATTTTACCTGTGCTTAAGAAAAAAAAAAAAAAAAAAAAAAAAAAAAAAAAAAAAAAAAAAAAAAAAAAAAAAAAAAAAAAAAAAAAAAAAAGCTAGTTACTTCTTTGGAACCCTTTGCAATCATGATATATTACAGCTGTGCAGCTTTGCAGTCAATATCATCTCCACTTCCAGAAGCCGACTCCTTTGCATAGGGCTGTTCCACGTTACAGATCTCATGCTTTAAGTGACTGAAGAGTGCCAGTTCATGTGCCAATATCAGCCATGGAGTTTCTCAGATAAGCCACTGTGCTCAAGTGATGATAGCAAAGACAGAACTCCCACCCTATTGCTTCTTACCGTGATACTCAAAAGTGTGTCAGTGATAGGAATAGTCACACTACTTCTGGGGCTCCTGGGAGCAAGATTCTGGGCTTCCAGTATTCAGAAAGCAGCATGATTCAAAGGCCCTTTCCTATGCTATATGGGAGAAGCTGCCATAGAGCCATCCAGCAGCAGGGAGAAAAATCAAACAAATAAGTTTCCTTCTAGTGAGAAATCATTTAAAAGATGGCAATATTTGAGGTCATGCTTCTATTTCACCTAAACCATAAAGCTCGTTTCTACATGTAAATGGGATCGTCATTTTAGACCAAGCAATTCTGATAAAGATTATTTAATAAAATGCATTTTATAATAGTAAAAATCTTTAAGAAAAAATAAAAACATCAAATTTAAATACATTTATCCTTCCATAAGGATGTTAACCAGTTTCTCCTGTCACTTTAACCAATTGCTAAAAACATCTGCACCATCTGCCCTCTGAGCCAACTGTGCTCTCAGGAAATGCACTCAACTTGATTTTTCACTTAACTGCAGAAGCAAATCATTTGTGTGACAAGAAATCAACATTCCTAAGAAAAGCTGCAACTTCACCTTCAGACTGTGCTGAAGAAAAGCTGAGATGACAAGAAAACAGTATTCTGATTTCTAAACGCAGCTGTAATAGCAGACAGGCAAAAAAAAAAAGGCCACGTAAAGACTTGCAAGCATTCTGTCTTCTTAAGTAGCTCAACAGAAAAAGGCTGTCTAGTCCTTTTCCAGACATATGCAGCTTGTGTGCACACACTTTTTTCCCCACTCTGCAAAAATTCACAGGTATCTCAGTTAGACAGCGGAGAAAGTAGTGAGGAAGACTTCTTCTTTCAGGATTTGATTTTGCGTTTCCATGCAGCCCACTCCTTTTGATCCATAGACATGGGCCCTTTTTCAGTGATGTCTCTGGCTCCTTGGTCTTTTGCCATTGTAGTTCAGTCAGTTCTTACTCCTGCCATCTAAACCTCAGAGTTAGATACCCTTTCTCACATTAATACACAATTTCAATCAGATTACTCACAGAGCGTGGTACCAAACTCAAGGGTCTGCAAATCCAGTCTGTTATTAGGTAGGACTCCCATTCCTCCCCGCAAGGGCATTTGAAATCCACCTACCTTTGCACCGGCCACGATGCGTCACACTCAGACTCGGTTCCCGGCATTTAGCTCTCTGGTAGTCACACATCGACTCATATGTTCTGCCATCGGAGGCACAGAGGGGCTTGGATTGGGACCTGGAGCAGTGCAGGTTACACTGAGGGTCTCTGTCACGATCACTTATTAAAAACTGAAGGAAGTGAAAAAGGGAGGGAAGGAGACAAAAAAATACTGTTTTCATTTAGTTTCTCAAAATAAAGCACAGTGTATTTTGTTTTTATGACAACAGCAATATGGTCTATAATGCTGTTTAAGCTGACTACCAAAGCTGACTTTGCCTTAAGGGAACTTAAAATGAAACACGTATGTCTTTAAAAAAAATTAAGGGTCTTTGCCATTCCATTTTCTTTAATGGAACGGAAACATTACTCACTCTGCCTCACCTCTGAAAACATAAGATGTGCAAAGCCAAACACAACCCACACGGGAAGGGCAATACTGAGTCACATTAGCCTAGCTTGCCCAGTGCCCTGCCGCAAACAGTATCCGGTACCAGGCACTTTAGTTAGTGGTGCAAGAAACTTACCACTGCGGCTGGAGCAACCCAAAGAACCCATCAAGACTGGCCCTGGTAGCTGAACTACGGATGCAGCTTTATATTCCCAGTTGTCTGTTTTTAAAGCATTCCTTTAATCATCTGTGGATACCACCTGCCTCAGCTTACCTGCATCCCCCCAAAGCCACATTTCATTCCCTCCAGAAAACATCCTTTCGAGCTGACATTTGCATTCCATGCATCCTACAATCCAACATGATGTAAAAAACTCTTTTCTTTTTTAAGTTTTGAATTTGCCGTCTTTCTGAATGTCTCCTCTTCCTGAGTATTCAATTCATATGTGGCTCATTATTTTGTATGCACATACCATGTCCTTTCTTCTCAGTCTCTCTCCAGGCAAACAATCCCAGTCTTTCCATTCTTCCCTCAGAAGATATCCTCCATACCACTATCACTGCTGCTTCCATTTCCTGAAGTAAGCTGGGCTTCTGCCTTATCTTTTGGAAATGGGGCAACCCACACCACACCAGTGAGTCACTGAGTTTTGATAGTCTCCATTTTCTGTCAGCTTATTCCCTGCAAATGCCAGCATCCCATGGTGGCTTATTGCTAAACCCTCAGCTGTACTCTAAGCTGCCCACAGGGTTACCTGGATCTCTTTTCCAAGTTTATGTTCTCTTCCCAGGAACCCTGACTACCAATCCCCCTGCCATAACCACTGGATTAGAGCTTCAGTAGGACATTGTATTAGCAGCCCCTTCCACTTCTCCACTCACTCCCCATTCTATCTTGCTTAGTAGTTAAACAGTCAGGCCTTTAATTACTACCTAAACCCTATCACCTGTTCAAAGGAAGATTTCAGGGGAGTCTTGAAATGCGTCCCATGAGGATTAAGCAAGGAAAAGGAGGGAAGTTAAACCCATCTTATACTTCCCCTTCCCAAGCTCCTGTCTCTTAAGCCTCTCTTGAGCCTGAGGGAATCAGTTTCTCTCTAACACACCAGCATCCTAGCTTGCTGCCAGAGCACTTATGAGCTCAGCAGTTTGGAGCCGGCTGGCAAGTGGGCACTGACTGACACCCTGCTTGCATGCACAAAGCCACAGCTCTCCAAGTGTGTTGATAGCTGGATGCCTTACAGGGAAGTGTGAGTCATTGCCATAATCACCTTGGTGTTACAGTTGCCTACAAAGCTGTCTGTTCTATGCTTTGAGGTTAAAGCTGCTGAAAAAACATTGCCTGAGGCCTAGTTTGGGTTGGTTTTTAACCACTCCAAAAACATGCATCCCTGAAATTTGTTTCTTTGACATTAAAAAAAAAAGCTTTATCCCCTTTCTCCCCCAATTAAGTAAGACGAAAAACAATTGAGAAGTTCAATATTTTCATATAAAAACATATTAGCTCTGTATTGCTGGATCTTTTGAGGACTCATGCATTACTAAAAACCCATGACAGCTGGGAAAAGTAAGCAAGGTCTGCACTTGTTTTAGTTTGGGTGGGGCAAACCTTTTTTTCTAAATCTCATCTGTCAGAGACGTGCCAAAATTTGCAACAGCATAGAGATTTTTTTAATGTTTTTGTTCCATTTCTGCAACACTCTCTATAATCTGGCAACACCTGTTTGAAATGGGAAATTGGAAAATTTAAACCTGAAGGCAATTTTAAATGGTTTATAGAGACCTGGACTAGACTGTAAAAACACTGTGAAGCTGGACCCGGTTTTTGCCCAGTTCTTGTCAGGGGTCAGGCTATCATAAGTTTGCTTGGAATTGCTCTAGATACATACAGTAATGTCTTTTTTAGCACCCAAGGTGCAAAGCTCACCAGTGACTGTAAACATATACCAAGAAGCAGCAGCAGACTGAAGATGCTGAAGACTCCTCCCAATGTGTGATGTCAGAGTACCTGACAGACTCACAAGGCTTTTCAATTGTCTATATAAACACACTTTAAAAGCTGATCTGCCTGATAGCACAGTATGGTGTACCTATAGTGATTAAACATTCAGTTAAACATTCTGTTTTAGAAAGAACGGATGCATTTACCATTTATCACAACTTTGAGGGCTTGAGCTACTGGCAGGAAGCTGTTTTTGCAAATTCCTTGTGTCAGAAATTCAGTTCTACATACCAGAGATATCCAGAGGGCCACCTAAAAAGCTAGAATACTGGTGTCCAGCATCAAATCATATTGTGAACTTATTGAATACTCAGCTTGTATCATGCAAACTCACCCAAGCCTTCTGCAGCCTGCACCAAAATACTGACTACAGATGGGACCTTAAGGAGCTGGAAAGCCCTTCTTCCCAGAATGAGAACAGATGAAGGACAGAAAGCCTCTCTCAGGCAGTTGATACTAAAGAGCTAAAACTAAGCCTATGGAACAGCTTTCTTTAGGAGCCTCCTCACAGAGGGATAGGGAGGAACAGCTCGACATTGATTAATTATGAGGGCCTGAGGAAACACGCAGAGCACCCCAATGCCGTCTGTGAAGTTCTTGCCTACCCAAAGTAAGCCAAGAACCACTTTATAAAAAAAAAAAAATCAAAGCTTTTTTAGCATTTGTAATTTGGATTACAGTAGTGAGCCCACACAGCATGTTAGGTGCTTTCCAGGCACTGAAGATGCCACACCTGCCTTGCCAAAAAAGTTTATGGTTTACATAGCTGCACAAGATTATGCTTGTTTTGTTCGACTATATTATAATTGTAAAAATGTGCATTAATTTCCAGAAGGATCCAGGATCAGGCCTGTCTAATCAAGGTTCTTTTCATGTGACCAGACAGCGCTGCCAGAAAGACTTGATCTCCTAGAGATATTACTGAAGGGGTTCAAAAACTCTCCCTTGCAGGATACATGTTCCACTGTGGTCCAGAGCCCTCATCTTTGCTTGGCAGTCCTGACAGCTTTCAGACAATAAAATGTTCATTCTTTATCCACTTTCTGGCTGGTAAATGTTCACGCTACAGAAGCGATCATCAACACAGATCATCCTCAGATATTTAACATACCAGCTATCTTAAACGTCCATCTGCTCCTGCCCAGCACAGAAAGTTCTCTTGCTGGCAGTTTGCCTCTCCAAGAGTGCAACAACTGTTCTTCTTTGCTAGTAGCCTCAGCAATGTAAAAAGTAAATATGCTAGATAAATGCTGAACTATACTCCTGCTCATCTGGGGAAAGAAACAAGTCAGAGAGAGATAAGAGCAATGGAATCCATCATAGTAACAGCTAGGACTACAATTCAAGACTTACTTGTTCCTAGTTACCTATTCCAATCTCTAGCAAGCAGGCACCCCTTTTCCAAGCAGAAGCATGACCCTGTTCTGAAAGAGCACCTCAGTGGCTGCAGGAGTCACTGCTGGCCCAGGCAGACAGCTGTGAGTGATGTGCACAGGGTGCCCTGAAGCCTGGCTACTGACCTTCACCAAACACAGCCAAGGCGGTAATATGATTCTCTTGTCCCTTTAGCACTAGGTGGAAGAGGAACATGAGAAAGTATTTTGCTTTTAACAGAGAATGTCCCACCATGATGACCCTCGAAGCTAGAATCAAAGCTTGACGTCCTAAGAGCCTCAGGACTCACACACAGACTGTGCGAACAACAAAATCAACATTTGTGGAGATGTGCTTGGTGCTGTACAAACAAATACACAACATGACGGTTCTGGACTCAGGGGAAAAGTAACCTTGTAAGCATGTGGGTAGCAGCAGTGGGTATCCAAGCTTCATCTAGAAAGAAAACAGAAATCATTTTCTTAGCTCTGAGATTTCTTAAGTCTCTTCTTGATATCTGTGTTCTCATTTCCCTCAAAATAGACTGCATCTATAACAATGGGACTGGAAATGGTGTCATTCGCTTATCAGTCCTTTTCTCTTCTTTACTCCCCAAAGGAGAAGAACTGTTAAAGCAGAATAATTAAAACAAATATCCACAAAAACTGTTACAAAAACACCAGAACCAATTGTTCAGAGAAATGTTAAAATGGACCAGATTGCAAATGGTATCTGTTGAACAGAGACTGCACACAAGTATTAGAGGATATTTATATTACAGTAGAATTTGCATTATAGTGGAAGGTATATTAAGGCACCCCGCACAGCTCCTACATCAATCAAAGTACCCTTGCCCTAAAGAGTGTCCAGTCTAATGCAGCTCTCAGAGCATCCGTTCATGTCAAACTCTGTATCTGTTTGAGGACATAAGCCCCTCCTTTAGTAAATACATTTGCACAGGTGCTTGCAGTACCCACTTCCCAACTACTTTTTGCTTCTTCAGACTTGAAAAGAAAACGGAAAGATAAGAGGTCAGAATAAAGTTAACTTTGCCAACAAAGCATATCTGTTCTTTTTCTCCACACCTCAACACCACTGCTGACAAACAACAAACACTGATTAAAGGGTTTCTAATGCCTGTGAGGGAAAGCAGACTCCCTGCAGCTGCACAGCAGCTGGGAACACTTGTGCTATTTAGCAGAGAAAGGTCTGACCCCACAAGTGAAAATGAGCTTGGTGGTCATTCATTCTATTCACCATCTGGGTACATTATAGGCACAACAGAACAGCACAGCCCTTTGTGACGGGGGTAACAAGAAATAGCCAAGACACTGCAGTTCCAGAGCAAAGTGCATTGGCAAAACTTCAGCGGAAAGAGGGAGTGAGGGATGCTAGTGACATGAATGTGAGAAATTGGAAGAAGTCTATTAAGAAACAAAACTAAAAGACAGGGGTCCACTGAAGATCAAAACAGGGGTGCCTCAGCTATTTTACAGCTTCACTTTGGATTAGTAGCACAGGCTGCTGCCTAACAAAACCAAGGAGAGAGGGAACAGCATGCACAATGCCCCATTCTAATTTATAACAGACTTTGAATTCAAAGACCCTTAGAATATGTCTTTTAAAAAGTGATGAATCTAGGTATGAACAAACCTAGACATTGCACAGTCTGCCCACTCACTTGTCTAAGCACTAGCTTGAGTATAAATATTCTCCCTAGGAAAGCAGTACCATTTTATAAATTAGAAGAGACTATAAACTTCTGGATGTTTTCATTGTTGCTGGAAAGTAACATTTCATCTTTCCTAGCTTTAATTTTACTGACTTCCGCCTTGCTTTCAGGCTCCAAACTGGGGCAACCAGTCACGCTGGAGGTTCCAGGTTCCCTGCAAGACAGCTGGAGC